CAATAAATTAAATAGTAAACAAGAGAATTATTACGTTAACACATAAGATGAGGAAATATTATACACAATCAGAATAATTGAAACCAATCAGCCCACTCATATAGTCTTCTATAAACCCTTGAGCCAGTTGAAGAGATTCATCTTCCCTCTCATATACCATTTCATAAACCTTTTCGACCATTCATAACCTCCATAAACACTTCCAAATGAGTCTTCGCTGAGGTTGAACTTTGGGTATTGTATTTTTATCAACCCTTCTAAGGAGTTTATGAAAGTGCAACGTATAGCAAACCTTTCTAGGATTTATAAAATTTATCAACCCATTCATAAACCCTTCTGTTAGCGCTCTCGCTCACGAAGCGCGACAAACGCTTTAAACGCGTGTGTTTTATTATCTCTCTGTTGATTCTTTTAGAAAACCAATGTTTATATACGCACACGAAAACAGAGACAAGAAAATAGAGGGAAACGGAGAGAGAAAGGAAAAGACAAAAGCGAAGAGAATAGATAGAATCGAGATATACGTTACAGTAGAACACACTGTAACAGGCTCCCTTATTGGACAAAGAATGTGTTCTATCCACATTTTTAGAAAGATAGAAATAATAATGAAATCGAAAGATAGGTAATGACTAGCATCAGGCGAAAAGAAAAATAACAAACTACAGCACGAGAAAATCTTTGAAAAGAAATAGTTAATATATGAAACAACAAAAACAAAATAATAAACTATATAGCACGAGAAAGTCCTTGAAAAGGAATTGTTAATAGGATGAAGCAACGAAACAAAATGCAAATAGAAATATGAGAGAAAAATGTGTTTAGCGACACGAATAAATAATAAGTATAAGAAGAAAAAGAAAAAGAAAAAGAGGGAAAAAACGAAATTCAATGTTATAACAAAAGATTTGCCTACACATACGTACGTAAATGAATGAATATAAATCTTACGCTTTGATAGTTATATCTTGCTGATTTTTTTTGGTTGATGATTCTGGTTTGATATTGTTTAACCGCATTAACTTGTCCGTGTCCATAAAGTAAAAACATGTATGATTTTTTCAATCTTTCATATGTCTATAAAACACACGCTTGTTCGATTAGTAAAATCATCATATAAACAGCATTTTTTTTTACGTTTTTTTTGAACCATTTGACTATTGAGGGAGAAAGATGCTTGTCACTAGTCTCGATTCGATAGAGGCTCTGTTTACATTTGATAACCAACATTGTTTGCACAAATTCGATGTAGTTCATAGACGATTTGGTTGGTTTAATCAGCGGTTCGACCTTCCACAGTTGTTACTAGTAGAAGGGAGCCAGGTTCGTCGAATGTTAGCGCTCTCGCTCACGAAGTGCGACAAGCGCTTTAAACGCGTGTGTTTTATTATCTCCCTGTTGATTCTTTTAGAAAACCAATGTTTATATATGCACACGAAAACAGAGACAAGAAAATAGAGGGAAACGGAGAGAGAAAGGAAAAGACAAAAGCGAAGAGAATAGATAGAATCGAGATATACGTTACAGTAGAACATACTGTAACACCTTCAGAATCAGTTTCACGAACTCAGAAACCCTGTATTCATCCCTTTTTTTAGGGTTTATGAAAGGGTTTATAACGCCTTAGTAAACCCTTTAACAGGATTTGTGATACGTTGCGCTTTCATAAACCCTTTTTTCGTTTTTTACTCTACGGATATTTTTTACAGTGCACCCAGTCCGACAAGTAACGAAAAAATCGACGTTTTTATGCGTCGTAAGTGCACATTTTAACACGTTAAAAAAACATTTTGTGAGGAAAAAACGAATCGATACATGTTAATGCTTTTAAGCTTGTTTTTAGTCAAAATAGAATTTTTTTAAACACGTTAGAGTGTGAGTTTTTACGCATAAAAACGTCAATTTTTTCGTTACTTGTCTGACTTCGTAGGAAGTTCTCACATAGTTTTAATTACCATCCTGGGGTAGGTCCAGAAAGGTACAGGACCACCCATTGGTAGTTTCTTGAAAGTTCTAGGTATCATCTGTAAGTAGATCCCAAATAGCTAAAGGGACCAACCATGGGTAGGTCCTAGAACTTCTGACTACTCCCTCTGACTGAGTCCTTAGAATTTCTAAGTACCGCTCTTGGCCAGGCTCAAGACACTTGTAAGTATTTCCCTTATGTGATTCTTAAAAGGTTCTGAGTATCACCTATAGGTAGGCTTCTAATAGCTATAGGGGCCAGTTGTGGTCTGATCCTGGAAGTTTCTAATACGATCTCCCGGTAGGTAGCAAGTAGCTGTACGAAATCCTCCTGGATAGATACTAAAAAATTCTAAGTAATATCTTTAGCTCGGTATTTATTACAGTAATAATTATTACACGTTATTACTTATCAGTTGTTGCTTTCATTAGTTTCAATTTTTTAAACTTTATTACTCGTAATACATAAAAAAAAGTAACACTTACATGCACTAATTAGAAACTTTTGTGAAGCACGATCTGAAAGGAGTGTTGAAGTATATAGGGTAGAAATTTGGACCCACCCCCGGCCCTACCCCACAGACAGGGACAGAGAAATTAATTAATTAGTCAGCTGCTTAATTAATTAATTACTTAGTTAACCGATCAATTAATTAGTTGGATAATCGATCAATTAATTAATTAGTTACTCGGTCCCGGTCTGTGATAGTTTCTGAGGTCTCTGTTCCGGCCTGTGATGGTTTCTGAGGTCTCTGTCCCAGTCTGTGATGGTTTCTGAATTCTCTGTCACGGACTGTGATAGTCTCTGAATCCTCTGTCACGGCCTGTGATAGTCTCTGAATCCTCTGTCACTGTCTGTGATGGTTTCTGAGGTATCTCTGTCAGGGTCTGTGATGGTGTCTGAATTCTCTGTCCCGGTCTGTGATGGGTTCTGAAGTATGTGCAACGGTTTGCTATTGTCTCTAGAGACTTCATACACCATAATACAAATACAGATACAGACCGTGACAGAGAAGCTCCACAGATCGTGGTAGTCGGATTCCAGAAAACGAGCTTTATCTTGTTTCACATTTTAATCCCACAGGGATTGCGCTAACAGCTTTTTTGGTACAGGTCGATTGTCTATGTTCACCACTACTCACATCAGTAATAAAAGTCTAGTTTCACTAATTAGAAATCATTATAATTACGATTTAATCTCTAATTAATCATCAAAATCTGTCGTTTTTATTATTATAGTCCATTGTTACGACAGTATTATATATTTTTATTATTACAGACGTTAGCAACGAGTGTATGCTACCGCTGCAGAAGCTAGCAACTAGTTTGTGCTACTATTACACTCGTTACTTCTACCACGTATAATAAACAGATGAAGATTTTAACCTTTTCTTTTCTCACAAAAATACCTTAATCTAGAGCTTGAATCCACTTTAGTGTATTTACAATTCGCAACTTTTCCATCCACTGGGAAGCTTTTATCAAATTTTCGTTTATGAAAAAAAGTATCAATTTCTCACCTGATAATACGAAAAAATATAAAGTTCTCAACAATATTGATAGCTATATCCTAAATACTGTTTAAACTATTGTCATTCACAATATTTCTCAATGAAACCACTAAACACTTCAGGATACTGGCATATTCGAAATAAAACGTTTTTCATACGTTCTCGCTCTAGTAATATTTCCTATTGATAGATCCCATAAACTTCAAATGTTAAAAAAGTTTTATTATCTTATTTTTGAACAGAATATGATCTCACTACACTGAAAAAATAAAACTTCTATTTGATCAGTAGCTAACTAACCGAAATATGTGAGTTCCACATTATAGCCCTAACGGGGCTGCGCCGAAAAGGTTTTTCAAGTAAACAATAGTGGCCAGATAAAAGCTGAAATTGTTTATGGAGGAAGAAATTTATTAAATGCTATTGAAAATAAGAAATTGTTTATCCTTCGAACATATGGATATTTAGAACAACACGAATTGTAATACTTTTTAAGCAAATCATAAATGATAATTGTTAAATTTCTTTGCTTCAATGGAAAAAATAATGATCTTTTTCCTTGTTGAATGTTCATAGGAGAATTCATCTCTAATGTAAGTGGAATTTCGTTCTTTCGAGTAAAATTTTGGTAAGCTTAATAATAAAAGAAATATATTATCATCGAGCAAAGCTATCATATTCAAATACACTACTGAAATGAAGGTTCCTTGCTGTTAGCGGCTAACCCTCGTTATGTTTTTCTTTCTTTTCTTTGATCTGAACTATATCAGGTCATTCTTTATTTTGCAATTATATTCTATTTTTTTCCAAACCCTCGATATATATATATATATATCGATGATTTTTTTTCTATTAGTAGTGTGTGTGCACGTATGTGTGATGTTTGTTTTCGATTTGAAATAAATAAAAAAGAAATCGAACATAAAGCTCTCTCTCTCTCTCTCCTTACCCGCTAATACTCGCAAAGTTGTTCATTGATACTTTCTATAAGAAGGAGAAATGTTGATCATTTTTCAAAACGAACGAAAGCGATTACTCAGCTTACGTATGACTGTATTATATACGGCATTTACATAAATAAAATGAAGAATTCAGTATCGAATTGAGCGTTAAAATCAGATTCAGATACAAACTAACATAAGATTTACTAATAACTCCTATTCTCTTTCGCCTATTTTATGATTTTATGCACGTATACTGCATAAACCTCTTTTTTCTCCATTGTCAGTCGGTGCATGTAAGAAACAAAACAAAATTTCAATAATTTGGCTTATTTTTTTTTCATGTGTGATTTTCTCAGCCGTGACCGACAACATTGCCAACGAGAAAAGTCGTGTGTAGCAGTTATTATTTTGACATAAAATCCAAGGTATGTATGTAATTACTTGCACAAATCAGAATTTTGCTCCTGTGCTAGATTATATGTGAAAATTGAAAGAGTCGAGTTTTGTTCGCTATGAATCAGTCGATTTTCGAAAACACTCATAACCGATTAATAATTCGCTGTTTTATTTAGTTGCATTTATGGCTAAATATAGAAGCGCTTTACCACAACTCTCCAATAAATTTTTTATAACCAGTGGCGGTATGGGGACTACACTTATCTTTCATGAGGGTATGGATCTTCCATTTTTTGCTTCGTTCATAATATTGAAGAATGAAGTTAGATGCGAGTGGCTGAAAAACTTCTATCGCAAATTTGTCGATATTGCCCGAAAATACGATGTTGGATGCATTTTGAAAACTCCAACATGGCGTGCTAGTCCTGATTGGATTCTTAAGCTTGGCTTTGCCGAACAAGATGTAGTTGATATGAATCGCAAAGCCATTGAATTACTCTGTGACATTCGAGATGAATATGAAACAGAAAAATGTCAAATAGTTATTAATGGATGTATTGGTCCACGTGGCGATGCTTATAATCTTACCACTACTATGACGGTTGAAGAAGCTCAAGCATATCATGCGATACAAATTGGCGTTTTGAGTCAAACAAAAGCGGATATGATCACGGCCTTCACATTGAACGATCCCGAAGAAGCTGCTGGAATGGTAAAAGCTGCCAATGCAGTTGGTATGCCAATTGCAATCTCATTCACTGTCGAAACAGATGGTCGATTAGCGGGAGGAAAAACTCTAAAGGAAGCTATCGAATTCGTTGATAAAGTTACTCAAAATTCACCCATTTATTACATGATTAACTGTGCACACCCGACTAGCTTTGAACATGTTTTGATGCCCGATGAACCTTGGACTACACGAATTCATGGTGTCAAAGGTAATGCTTCAAAAAAGAGTCATGCTGAACTTGACGGATGTAAAGAACTCGATTCTGGAAATCCAATTGAGTTCGGTGAAAACAATCGAGCTCTACTAGGCAAGCTCAAGAACTTGAACGTTTTCGGTGGATGTTGTGGAACAGATTATCGTCATGTCGAAGAAATTTGTAAGGCATGCCTTGATACGTTCAATCAAAAGAAAGCAAGCTCAGCACGATAAAAAAAACATATTTATTCGTTTGTAATTATAAATTGAATCTGCATTTCATACAAATTTCTCATATTTTCTCTTCTAATAAATATATTATATCCTAATTATATTGTTCATATAGAAAAAAGTCGAATAACACAGACTGCATGACACAAATAGAGGTGTAAGCCGAAGAGCTCAACAGCGGCGGCGGCTGATGATTTTAATCAGTAAGCTCTTCGGCGGCGGCGGCTAGAATCGTTTAAATTGTTTTTCACGGCGGCAGCGCCGGCTGACATTTAGAAGCTTTGATGCGGCAGCGGCTAAACTTAAAATTCTAGTAGTTTTTCAAGAAAAAAATTCTTTCTATTTTTTTCTTTTTTCATTTAAAGCATAAAAATTCTCTTTTTTACCCATTTGAGAACAATACCTATGATTGTGGAGAACTACTACGGATGAAAACAATCGAAGTTCGATGCATATGTTTCAACGGCGGCGGCGACTCACA